TGGGAATATCAGAGGACCCCCTCATCGCTGAGTACATCGAGTGTTTGAGCTTGTGGGACCGACGCCCATGGGATCCACGCCCAGGAGAGATCCTTCCTATGGTTTCTGGTAGGTCCAGAGAATATTGGGAGGACCATGAGAACCACGATCAAATGCAAGGTATCAAGAACCTCTTGTACACTGCCGAATATTTTGCCAAAGCCGACCCAGAAGAATGGTGGGGACGAATGATCAATGAGGAGGACATAACAAGTGGTGAAGATGCAGATAATCTTTATGCGACTATCGCCCTTCTCTCGCTTCTACCAAATCTCAAGACGTTACAGCTACCGGCCAGATGGCATGAAGTCCGGAGCGGCGAGTCCGCGGAAGCTTTAGTACCGTCTGTCGAGTCGCTCGTGTCGGTCTCAAACCGCGACGGCTACACATTGAAACCATTGGCGTCATTGGAAACCCTTCTTCCGTTCGTAGAGGAGGGCTACGATGTCCGGGCTGGCCTTCAATGTCTCCAGCCCTTCTTGGTGCTCCACGGTATTCGAAACCTCTATGCTGTCAGCTGCGTGGCAGTCAACGAGGGCTGGGGAGGTATACCGCTCGAATGGCCTCAGTCGGGTCTGAAATCGCCTCTGACGCGCGTGGAGTTTGCATATTGCTGCATGGACACTGCTGGTCTCGGAGTATTACTGTCGAATACACCTTGTCTCACAATCTTCAAATACTCCCACCAGACCAAGTGGGATGGCCTGGAGTTTGACTGGAATCCAGGTGAGTTTCTAGAAACAATAGCAAACTACTGCGGCGAGCGCCTCCTCGAACTCGCCATTACAATCGACGAGTTACATGGCGAGGTCATCAACGGCCTCTCCTCCTTCATGCGCTTTCCAAAGCTTCAAAAGCTCGAAGTTGATGTCGCTGCATTCTGTGGACCACCATTGGAGAGTGGTCAGCGCCTTGGTCGCAACGCTACCCTCCCTGAAGGCGCAACAGCCTGGGCACATATCGATATACCGTGCATGGGCGACATGCTGCCCGAGAGCATTTGCGAGTTGCAAGTCAATACTGATTTTCCAGAGCCTTCTGAGCAAGCTTTAAGGTCGCTGTTCAAGAATATTAGAGACCGTCGATTGGATAAGTTGCTCCTGCTAGGCACGACAATCCTACGGCAATACGCAAGTGGTACGGCCCGAGAGATTGCTGTCAATCATGGGGTCATATTGGAAGCCTTCGATGAAGACGTAGCCGCGCCGAGACCTAGACCTATGATGCCGCAATGGAAAAGAGAATTCGATTGTCGGGTTGGCGGGATAGTTATGGCGTAGGAGGCGTAGCGTGATTGTGCTTTTACACTCATTGCTCCAAACGCTTAGTCACGTCTTGTGGGTCACAGGGAAATTGAGAGAATGCCTCAAAACACAAGAGAACCAACCATACGGGAAACAAGCAAAGAATATTTACATCACTATATATTAATACCACTTCTGTCTATAGTTTCGACGCCTTCTCTTTCTCCAATGTGTTTTTGATCGGTCCAACCAAATTGTCAATGAATCCCTTATCGTTCAACTCCTGCCCTGTGCCTTGCCCTTTCGGTGGGTCAATATTCCACTCCGGAATCCGCCTAATCCCGTTCAAAGTAACCTCTAGCACACTTCCACAGCCATGTTCCTTCTTTTGCAGCAAGTCCAGCAGCGACTTGGCGCACGTGTCCGCAGTGAGAAACCTCTCCTCTGTCACCGAGTACTGCTTCAATTTGGGGGCATCAAAAAGCGGAGTTAGGACACCCGCGGGACAGAGCGTGGTGATTTTGACGCCGGTAAGGGCTTCCGTGTCTTTCATGGACTTGACGAAGCCGACGATTGCGTGTTTGGTTGCGCAATAGAGGGGTGCGGCTATACTACCGGATATTCCTCCAACTGATGCCTATGTATCGTACGCATTAGTCACGTGTATTCACAAGATTCCTATGTAGATGCCATCTTGCAGTGTTGCGCGGCTTGTATAATAATGTTGAAAATGAAAACACTCACAATAATGCACACACTTGCCCTCTTTCCTCTTCCCAAGCTCTTCCTTATCGCCAGTCTCGTCAACTTGATTGGATGGTTCACATTCACATCGACCTGCTTGTACCCCTCATCTTGCTCCGGATCCTGCCAGAAATTCGAGAACGGTGGGTCAAATAAGCCGGCGCAGATAGCATACGCATCAGGCACATCGTTCCATTTCTTCTCGCATGCAGCAAACATCTTCTCGAAATCGGACCAGCGCGTCACGTCGGCTTGCACATAGATAATGTTAGACTTGCCAGAGGCAAAGGTGTCGAATTCAGGTGTTGTTTTGATGTCGGCAACTAAGAGTCTCGCACCCAGTTCGTGGGCTTGCTTGGTTACTGAGAGACCGATTCCTGTGTGATGTTAGGGATTGATGCTAGAGGTAGATTAGGTGGGTTATCGTTACCGGATGCGCCTCCTGTGAGGAGAAGGATCTTGCCCTTCAGCGGTTGATCAATTGATGACATTATGATGCTAGGTTATTTCTCTATTCCCAGGCTTGGATCAATGCTTGAACTTTCAAGAAATATTCAGTACTTTGGCTGCCTACGTCGAGGCGTTGTTATGTACAGCCGGGTAAAGGATACCGAAGGTCCGATCCGAGCGTACGCCACCAAAAATGAGGGGTCCAAAGGAACACAGTGCCACACAATTCGGATATATGAGTCGTGTTGGTGGTGATGTTGAATTTCGGCTCTTTGTTTCCAGTCTCTGGTGAAAAGTTCGGGGTAACGCTGGTGATTGCTGTAACTGCGAAGTCACCAGTCTATGTATGATATCATAGGAATAGCAATCGCACTAAAGCATCCGTGACCTGACGGGGGATAGAGCTTGCTACTGAGGTAAGAGATCTTATTACCTTTACCTTGAGGTTGCCTAATTATCATTGTCTTCACGTTCAATGGCGGTGTCGCGAAAGTAGATTGTCTCCTCCATAAAGAAGTACATGATGACGAAGCACACCGCGCAGACGATTGCCCCGAACAAGACCATTCTTGATCTCAGTGTTACATGACAACATCCCGTCGTGTACCCGGCCGATGTTCAACTGCATGGAGTGCGGGTTAGGTTAGTGTGGGTGCTTTGCATACCCCGCGAAACGCCACAGTGAGGCTCAACCACCAAGGAGCAGGTAGCATTCCCAAGCACTTAAATATGCTTAGAATCCCGAGCATGTGCACGTCTCGTCTTCGCGTCCCGTCTTCGATGGCCTGAAGATCAAACACAGTCGGGACGCCTAGCTTATACTCAATATCTCGAGACGCTATTGTTCAACATGCTATCCAAATAAAATGAATCCTCATGTTTCCTTTCCAATCTTCTGATCCTGGCGCTCCGAAAGTTGCCCTACCGCCACACGAAGCTGTAGTTTGGTTTGGCAGCGCTTCCCAGACTGGTTTTGGGTAGTGCTATATGATCTTTCGTAAATCGGCCGAAATTGAGTTGTTGCACTAAATTCGAGGCCATTACAGAGAAAGCGTTGTTAATGAGGTACACTGCACCAGGACGTATCCTTTTCTTGACGTGGTTATCACCATTGTTTTAGCAATGTGACGGACCTATGGCCCTTTGGCACCAAATGTGACATTATCACTAGGAGGAAAAGGTACCTTGAGTTGCAACATAGGTTTTGGGAATGTGCATCCCTATTATTTCAGGAGGATGAATTCTAGAAACCCTAGAAGAGGTTCGATATTGGCTGCCAATAGCAAACTGCAGTTGTTTGCCGAGCTAACAATACCAGCCTCCATCTATCGGCACAGCGTTTCCCGTAATGAAAGAAGCCGCATCTGAAATCAGAAACTCAATCAGCGGCGGGACTTCCTTCTGATCTGCCGCCCTGCCTAGTGGAAGGAAGCCGAAGTCGGTAGCTGATCCCTTGATCTTATACGACTGCTGCAACATAGGCGTATCGATAGGTCCCCTGCTCACAATTAGCGCTAGTATCCTGTGAAGTAATATATCATACTTACGGGCAGAAGCAGTTGACCCTGATCTTCTTGGGGCCCAGCTCCTTCGCTGCTGATCTTGTCATACCAACGACAGCATGTTTCGACGCGCAGTAGGCCATATTATTCGCTGCACCAATGAGTCCTAATATGCTCGCTGCATTCACAATTGAACTCCCCTCATTCATGTGCGGTACCTGGGCACGCAGGCAGTTTCTCATCCCGAAAACGTTAACACCAAACACGAAGTCCCAGTCCGCATCATCGAGGTCTTCAATTCCAGCAACGTAGCTTTGCTTTGCGATGACCCCAGCCAAATTGCAAGCTCCCTCCAACTTTCCGAACTTCTCGACTGTTGCTGCGATCCAATCATCGACGTTCTTGCGGTTACTGACATCGACGACTTGGACGTAGACCTGTGTGCCTGATTGCTGTAGTTCAGCCTCGAGGTCTTTCAGTGGCTTCTCTTGCACATCAGCGAGCGAAAGTTTTGCTCCTTTGCTGGCAAAAAGTCGAGCCGTCTCGAGGCCCATGCCCGATGCGGCTCCCGTAATGACAATGACCTTATCTTTGATTGACATGATGGATGGCGCTCGCAGAACAGTGGTGTGGTGGGAATAGGGGGCCGAAGGTTTGTTCGGACAATGAAAGCACAAGTAAGTATATGAATAGCTTCGGCAACGTTCGTGGTGCCTTAAGTATGAGTACCATATGTATTTACCTGCATTGCCCTCCACTCTGCCCGCTATATCCACACTTCAGCCATGAGGCTCCGACAGACACCGGATTTCCGGCAGAGGACCGGCCGACATTCCGAGCCATTGTGAAGTTACGTGAGGGCAACTTTCGAAGGAAGACCTTTTCCCGCTGACAGGATGGAGTTAACTAACGACCCCGCCCTTCGCTCAGTAGCGTCCCCACCCCACACAAGAGCCAGACTACACAGCGATAGTTCGTCTAAATTGCAAATGCAAAAAGAAAGATGTCAAACAAAAATATCAGGGCCGAACCGGAGTCGAACCGGTGACTTCGGGAAGACGGCTTTGGTGAGCTGCAGTCCTACACTATTGGAGCAGTTAATATTTGACTTTCATGCTAAGGTTCGTATGAGACTAACCTCTACCACTGAGTTACCGGCCCGTGCAAATTCTTGATGACTAATAAATTTTCAAATTAATGTTTATATAGAGTGAGATCTGCTAGACATGTGTTGTTCTTTTCGATTGCCGTCAGGTATGGTGCCGATGTGAGAGTGGGGCAAACCCCCATCTAGAATAACTCATTCTGGCGGTTGAAAGTCCGACAGCGGCGTTCAATATGACTCGTCACGCTAAGATTACAATCCTGGAACAGCAGCCGCAATGCTTGACATCTCTCCTATCACACACACACAACAATCCATATGAACCCACCCAAGATGAATTCAAGCCTTTCACAGTTGACAACATTTTCCGGGTTGCATATTCCCCTTCTTGAAAACTATCCTACACCATCACACCCCCCCTTTTAAAACACGACCCCAATTGATACAAACACTGCTCATTCGGACAACTCCCCATAACCTCCCGACTCTCACACACCACCCTCGTCTTCAACTGCTCCCCACCCAAAGCCGCACCCACAACCCTCTCCAACTTGCCCACTCTCCTCTCCCTCGCGTTCTTATCCACCGCATCAATGATGCCGACACAATCAAACTTTCCCTGATCCGTTGTACCCTGGAACTTCAGATCGACCCTCATGTGCGCAATCTCCTTGCCCTGTGCATCAGAGAGGCTGACGCGGACGTACTCGGGCGCATTGCACCAGCGAACGATCTTGCCGCGAGTGTCGTGCTCAGGGCAATACTGCCCGATACATCCGAAACACAGCTTTTTTTTGCAGAACCAGCAAATGGTTGACGTTCGATCAAACTGGTAGCAGTTCTTATCGTCAGAAGTAGCGACTGTGAATGTGTCGACGATCTGGTCTATGAAGGCGGTTTGGAGAGCTCCTTTACCGGCGTAGTCTTCGGGGATGAAGTCGCTTGTGACGTTGACGTTTACAGGCTTCCTCTCTTCGTCGAGGTACGCCACCGTGCCTCGCTCATTCGAGTGCTCGATTAGGCCTAATATGATGGGATCGCTTTTACATGTGTTTGCGCCTGTTTTCTTCTTGTCGCACTTGTCATACAACCCCGCAGAGAGTCGGGTGCTAAGGTTCTGGCCAGCGGCAACTTCAGACACATCGCCAACATGTTGGCGTTGATTGCCGATTTCGATAATGAATGTGTAGTTTGTGGGGCTGGGTGTAGCTGTAGGAAGGGGCGTAGGTGGTGGTGCTTGGGATGAAGTATTCAGGGGATGGGGAGGACCAATGCCCAGCGGCGCTTGACAGCTAGGTGAGTCGGACACAGTGGAATGTCAGTGATATTTTGGCCTCGAGTAACCATTTTTGCTTACCTTGGTGGGAGTCCTCCTTACTCATCGACGATGCCATGGAAGCAGTCGCCAACATGGCTACAAAGGCCCATAGCAAAGGAGCTCGCATCTTGAGCAGAGTGTATTATTTCGAGAACCTGGTAACATGGCTGAAAGTCGACCTATATGTAAAGAGGATTGAATGACTGGTTGTGACTTGACGTTGCAGTCTAAGCTTTGAATGCCTGGCTGAGGTATTCAAGCACGCTCTCTTCCATTTACGCCGCCAATATCATGCCAAGTTCACTTCAAGGGACGGTGCATGCCGAACCGATCTTCTCATGAACATAACCAAGTTTGGGTAATATCTTGCTCTTACTCTACAGCCTCGCAGATATGAAGGTGTGTTGCTGTTGGCTAGCAGGTTGCCATACCTTTTTAGCTTGACGTATGCATGGGTCGCTCACTGCACGATCCTAGCTTCACTTTGTCGGGCAGGGCAATACTTGTCTAATGTCCTGAGTACGTTAAAGCACAACCCACTGACTCCTCGCTTTTGGCGACTGATCATATCTCCTGCTTATATTCCTTGTTAAATGCCCTCCCAATGACCATTCGCCGAACCTCACTCGTCCCGGCTCCAATCTCATACAGCTTCGCGTCCCTCAGTATCCTGCCCACAGGCACTTCGTTCATGTATCCCATGCCACCCATCAATTGCACCGCATCAGCCGCAACTTCGCTTGCCCTTTCTGCTGCATACAAGATTGCGCCTGCACAGTCTTGCGTTTTGACATGGGGGGAGGCATGAGATTCGTCGACCGCGCGTGCGACAGAGTATGTGAAGGATTGCGAGGCCCGGTACTTGGTATACATGTCTGCTAGTTTGCCCTGCACGAGTTGATTGTGCGCAATGGGAGTGCCGAATTGCTTTCTTTGATGCGTGTATGGCAAGACAGTGTCAAGGCTTGCTTGCATCAGGCCTAGGGGTCCCGCGCTTAACACCAGTCGCTCCAAGTCTAAACCCTCCATGAGCACGCGAACACCGCGGTTTACCTCGCCCAAGACATTCTCTTTGGGTACGAACACGTCTTCAAAGACGAGCTCGCCTGTATTGGAGCCACGCATACCAAGCTTGTCCAACTTGTTTGCGACACTGAAGCCCTTGGCTGTTGTTTCGACGATGAACGCTGTTATGCCTTTCGACGCAGCGTCTGGCTGAGTCTTCGCGTATACGACTATCGTATGTGCGTCCGGTCCGTTTGTGATCCACATCTTCGTGCCATTGAGCAAGTAACCACCCTCTACCTCCTTAGCTGTCGTCTTCATACTGACAACATCCGAGCCTGCGGAGTGCTCGCTCATGGCCAGCGCGCCAATCTGCTCTCCGCTGATCAGACCGGGGAGGTACTTCTTCTTTTGCTGCGATGAGCCGTTGAGCATCAACTGGTTGACGCAGAGTTGTGAATGTGCCGCGTACGACAGAGCTATGCTTCCTACTCGACTGTCAGCTCTCACTCGACGGAGATGTAGTTTGAGGGCACTTTCACATACCGCTTGCCCTACTAATCTCCTCCATTACCACACAATGTGCTTGATATCCCATTGCCAACCCACCAAACTCCTCATCAGCTGTTATACCCAAGAACCCAGCCTCGCCAAACTTCGTCCACATCTCGTTTGGGAACTCATTTTCTTTATCCGTGCGAGCAGCGATCTCTTCAGGAATCTCTCTTCGTGTAAATTCACGGACTGATTCGCGAAGCTCGTCGAGATCGGATTGGGACGGCGGTGTGAAGTTTGCGGGATGTTTGGTTGAGGCGTGACGTTTGGCGGAGATGAGTAGCGGGCGGGGATGCTGGCACACGCGAAGGCAGCGCGTACTGCGGGTGAGGAGCCTGGGAGATAGAGACGCCATTGTGGTTGTATGGAGATTTCACAAATTCTGGAGTGAATCTCAGAAGCAAGACACGAAGATGTTTTGACTGAAGGGCTCGGTTTGCGCCGGCTGAGCGACCGAGGCTCCTTCCCTTTTGATCTGCGGAGAGCGCGCACGGGGAAGGAACGGTGGCGCGCGCTGGAATCTGGGGAAGAGCGGTTGAATTCCGCGACTCGAGAACACCAGTAAATCATCATCCATTCACAACAAATGTCGCAGTGTATATAGTTCTCACTTGAGATATATTCTGGTAGCTTTTTTCACAAATCCTTCACTGCTTTCATGCCCCGCCCATTGCACTCCCCCACATCCAAGGCCACCAAAAACCTCGAGACGCAATTGTAGGCCGCAACAGTCGCCGTCAGCTCTACTACCTGCTTGTCGCTCAAAAATTCCTTCACTTTTCCTGCAACATCGTCTTCAACCGCAACGCCAATTGTCATCTGATCCGTATAACACAACACAGCATACTCCTCCCCAGTCAAGCCCTGCACACCCTCCTTCTGCACAGTGGCTTTCTTCGTTACGGGCAGATCGAAGGCGGCTTGCATGGCATCCCTCGAGATACCAGCTTTTACAGCGATGGCAGCATGAATATCCCACTCATGCACGGCGCTGTTCAGAACAGCAACCCGCGAGATGGCAAGCTCTTTCAAGCCCTCTGGTACACTAGTCTTGGTGCGTATCGCGCCAATGAACGAACTCCAGCCGTCTGCCATGGCGGGATTATGTAGGAGTGCGAGATCGAGAGGAATGAGGGGGCGAGGCTTGCGACGTTCGGCGATGCGTTCGTACACAGGTCGAGCCTCCTCGTTCGGAGGCTCGCTAGGGGCGTACGGAACGCGCATTTTGGCGGATGTGACTGATACGAAAGGTCGATTGAACGATGCGATGACGGTGCGTGTCTGTGGTTGAAAAATGGCTCGTTGAACAATGTGTGACAGAGCGGGTCGCATGGAAGGAAACTTCGAATGTAGGTGGGCAGGATGTATTTGAGCGAATGCAAGTACATGCGGAAACCATTTCCGCGATCGTTCACACTGTGGTAACGAAATGGAAAAGCGCCGACGCGCCACGGAGAGATGCCATAGATCCGCTCATTGCGATATTCCGGCAGAAGACAATGTCTTTCGTCCCAAAAAGCTTGAGACTGTTTCTCAAATCTTGCGAAGGAACCACGGGGTGGAATATTGAATTGTCGCCATTGCAACAGCCAGAATCTGAAAGCGTGGAGGACGCGTGGGAAGCTACCCCGCATAATCGTTGATAATCCCTGTGCTTGAGCCGCGGCTGGGTTCCGACGCCATTCCCTATCCCTCCACATCATCGTACGCAAGATGCTTGGACAGATGTTCTCGTTATCCATGTGGCCTCGATGTGAAAATGCTTCGGCCTGTTCTCGCGCGCTCTTTGAGACTGCCTCTACCCCTGATTAATCCTCGTCGCAGACTCCTTACTAAAGCATTCGCTGCAGGCCCAAAGGAGGTTTGTATATGGGCCTGTCGGATCTTGATTTCATACGACTGACAGGAGTGGTAGCCTCCCCTTCTTGAGCAGTCCGTTCCACAGCACTTTGCGCGTGTTGTCAGCCAGTATGGCGACCGTAACGCGTACGTGAAGCCCTCCATGCTATTATGAAGCTCTAATGCTTCACCAGGGTGATCTCGCACCACCAGCAAACGATTCTCACGTATGATGCACTCGACCGCGATTCGAATTCCCTGGCTCGAGGGCTGCAGAAGCTCGGTGTGAAGAAAGGCGATCGGGTTGCTGTGTCGCTAGGAAATAATGTCGAGTTTGCT